GATGAACACCAAGGTACCTGTAGCTGTCCACAGCCTCAATGTCCATACCTTGGATGTTCAGTGGTTGCAGTGGAGAATGCTTGTGCCTGCGGAAGTCTACCATGATTTTCTTGGTTTTACTGGCGTTGATCTGGAGGTAGTTCAGCTGGCACCAGTCCACAAAGTCTTGAGTAATGTTACATTCTCCATTTGTGTATGTGTATATTCCCATTTTTTCCATATGTAAATATGGTTCTGTTAAATGTTTATAAGCAACCAAGTTTTTGTCATCTGATTATACACAGTGCTATAACAAATATATTTAAAATAGCATAATAGATGAACCACACATGTCTGTGCCAGTCAGGCTAGTCCTGTAAAAGCTCTTACTTGTATTTCGCCTCCCTGGCTGCTGTTGTGTGGTGACGGTCCAGGGGATGCTGCAGCTGAACTCTGGGATTTATCGGGATACTAAAGGAAAAAAAGCACCAGTGTAAAAATACTGAGATTCAGTAACAGCACCAAACACTTCCGCTATGACTGTACATAGCTAAACATACAGGTGAAGGGCATCAAAACATCACACACAAACAGGAACACTTACAGGGTTAGCCATGTCTTCCAGCACCTGGGCCGGCCCTGCGGGGGAGGATGAGAAGTCTTCGGGACTCTAGTAAGGACACATGAACTGTAAAAAACCCAAACCTTCTTATAGTTTGTTTACTTTTATTTTTCTGCACAGCTGGAAGTTATTGCGTCTCGTACCTCTATTGTGTACCTCGTCACGGCATTCCTGTGTTTCACGTACCCGTCCAGCCACGACAGGGACTTCAGCAGCGGAGGGGTTCTCGCTGGTCTCGCTGGCTGGCTGCTTTTGCTGTTGAACTTTTTCTTGGCCCGAACATACCTGTCCCGAAGTTGCTTCCACTTCTCGCGGCATTTGTCCGGCTCTGTCTGGAGGGCGGCTGCTATTTCTTGCCACGACTTGATGCTAACGTGCGGGTTCTTGTAATACTTGTGTCCAGGGTCATAAAGGTTGTGGTGTAACGCAATTTGTTCAGCTAACTGTTCCTCGAAACTTTCGAGCGCCTGCATTTTTGTCCACTTCCGTGAAGCTTTTCTCTTTCCCGGGTCAACTCAGCGTTTCAACCAATCAGCATTCGATCTACGTCTAGCGTCATCAACATCGATACGCGCTG